ATCAAGTGGTCATCCTCACCACCACCACTCCCATTCCCACGCTCACTCTCACCAGCACATCCAGCAGCAGCCCTCCTCCTCATCGTCGACCTTGGTGCCCAATCAGCACAGTAGCAATCATCATCACCACAACCCCTCCCATCACCACCACCTTCAGCAGCAGCATCCGAACATTCATCACCACCACCACCAGTATTCAGCACGCTCTTCGACGAGCAGCCTCTCCAGTTCGACGAGCAGCTACTACAACAATCTTTATGGATGTAACAATGGAAGTTCTGCTGTACAGCAGCCGTACAGCAGCGCTGGCAACAATGGAACCTCCTCCTCCGCCGCCAACAACAACAGCCACAACAGCTCTACTTATCATCACTCGAAGATGTCCTCCTATGGAGGAGGTCAGCAGTCTTCAAGAGCAGGAGGAGGAGGAGGAGGTTTCGAGGGCGGAAGCTGCTGTGGATCAGCAGCTCCTCAAGCGCCAGTTCCCCCGCCCCCCTGCTGCAGCGGCGGCCCCCTCTACCCGAGCCAGTCGTACGGCAGCTGCTCCTGCTGTGGCCCTAGCCCTAGCTCTGCCAGTCATCACCATTCCCATCACCCCCATCCGCCGATGATGCGCACCTCCTCGGTTATGTCCACCGCCAGCTCCGGGGGCGGGGGCGGCTCGATGATGATGGTCATGCCGCCGCCGCAGACCTCGGGGCTGATGCATCCTAATTTGGGAGGCAATGGCAGTGGAATGTGTCCCTGCAATGCGGGCCATCACCCTCACTCTTACAGCTCTCATCACCACCAGCACTCCTCCTCCTCTTCAAGTCGGCGAAGTAGTTCGAAGGTGCCCCTGCCCGTGGAGTCCAGCTCGGTGACCTCCTTTCGGCGGCTGGAGCAGTACCAGCAGATGACCCGGTACCGGGAGATCCGGCACACCACGACGACCAGCACTACCAGCGCTGCCGCCTCGGCTTCGGCTTCAGCTAAAAGCCAAAACAGTAGCAACTCAAGCAGCTCTCGAAGACCTACACTCCCCGACTACAATACGACGATGCAGCGAATCAACTCCAGCTCGGGAGGTGGTGGCGGAACGATGATTCCCGTCAATGGAAAGCCCTCCTCCAATCGTTCCAATCCTGGTGGAGGAGGTTCTTCAGGACACCACCGAGAAGATATCGTCTGATCAATCATCGTTTGACCTTCTTTTCCTCTTTCTCTTCAAGCGCACCTTTTCCCTACGGTATTTATCACTCACTCACTCACGCACGCACGCCTTTTGCACAGCACTTTTTGCAGCATTTCTTATTTCACTAATCATCATCACCATCATCTTCTTCAGACACCGGTCACCGCCTTTACTTTATAACTTTACTTCTTTACTTTACCACTTTTTACGTTTTACTTTACCACTTACTTCTTTTTCTCTTGTACATACCTCCTCTTCTCTTTTCTCACCATATCACCTTCATCATCACCTCCATCACCACCACTACCAGTCCATGACACTACCGAACTTTACCACACACAAACCACTTCTTTGCTGGCTCACTTTTATCACCCGTTCCCTTGCCATCCTTCATCCCTTCCCACCCTTCCAGTCCCAGTGTCACAAAGTGAGTAATGTTTTCCCAGCCTAGAAGTCCCCACTTTTCTCTCCTCTCTTCCAAAGAATCTCAAGTGATATAATCCCTCCCCGCCCTTTTCTCTCCTCCTTCCCTTTCTTTTATGGCCAATGTTCTCACCTCTGATTAACTTAACTCTTCTTCTTCTTTTTCTATTCTCTTTCCTACTCTAACTCTCTCTTTTTTGTCAACAATGAGCATTTTCTTAATTCTTGGAACGAATCCCTCTTTTTCCCTTCCTCTTCAAGGCACCTTAAATGTTGAACTTCACTGCTTTAAAACGAGAGTTGTAGTCGTTGGCTGTTGTTGGTTGGCCAAAACGATAGAACGCCGGTGTTTAATTATCGTCCTTCATTCTGTTTTTAATTACAAAACACACACCCACTGCGCTTTATGAGTTGGCGATGGTGAACTCGATGTCCACACCGGGGTAGATGCCAATCGAGGTGATCTTCTTGACGATCTCCGAGGTGCTTCGCAGGTCGATGATGCGCTTGTGGATGCGCATCTGGAAGCGATCCCAGGTCTTGGAGCCCTCGCCGCAGGGCGTCTTTCGGGTGGTGATGCGCAGCGTCTTGGTGGGCATGCGGACCGGGCCGTTCACCGTCACCTTGTTCTCCTTGGCGGCGCGCACCAGCTCGGAGCAGACTGTTTGTTTACCGAGGGAGAGAGGAAAGAGGTTCATTAGTATCACCCCGGAATAATAAAAAAAGAGCAAGTTCACTCACCCTTCTCGAGGCTCTTCACGCTGGGGCTGTTGAGGGTGACACGAATGCGGTGCATCTGCTGCGTCGCCTCGTCCACAACCTTTCCCTGGTCGGGCTTTGTGGTCGCCATGTTGTGCTGTTGTTTGTGGTCTGTGGATGTATTGCCGGTGATTAGCACTGCTGTTTTAGTCGATGGCAGGGCAAAAGAGCACTTACGGAATCGGTCCTGGAGCGGATTTGAGACGTCAAAACACACAAAGTAGAACTCGGGAGCACGAGGAGCGCGTGTTGGTCGGCGGAAAAGAGCGATTCTATTTACACCCAGTTCCCCTCAAACAGTCAGAAGGCAGCGTTCACATGGACAGCGCCGCTGCGGGTGGAAACGGCGTCAGTGGGAAAGAGCGAGAGCGGCTCGGCAGATGGCACACTGTACGCAGGAGCGGGCTGTTGTGTTTATGCCGCTGAAAAAAATGTCGCTGATCAAGCCTGAGATTTTCATCACCCTCGGTTCTTATTCTTGGCGCCGCCGGCGTTTCTAATTCTTTTCCCTTTGCTTTCCTTCTTCTTCTCTTCAACGCCGACTTCTTGGTCTTTTTTTGGTTTCACCCCTTCACCTTCCTCATCTGATTCCCCATCTTCGAGACTTGACGATGATGGCACCTTTATAAGAGAGAAGCAGGGAGCACCGGCGACATCATCGTCAACTCTGAATTGAGAGCAACNTCTTCTTCTTCTCTTCAACGCCGACTTCTTGGTCTTTTTTTGGTTTCACCCCTTCACCTTCCTCATCTGATTCCCCATCTTCGAGACTTGACGATGATGGCACCTTTATAAGAGAGAAGCAGGGAGCACCGGCGACATCATCGTCAACTCTGAATTGAGAGCAACAAGATGTCCAAACGAGAGTACCTCGTCGAGACGCATCGACCCTTTAAAGTGTAAGTGCTCCTATGGTTCGATAAAGATCACTTTCATTGTCGTGTCATTCTCATTATCGCCACACAGATCTCACCAGCTGCTATGCATCACCAAGATCGACTTCAAGACCAAGAGTTTAGTGGTGAGTTTTTGCCGCTGCTGTTTAGCCTGAGTCAGCACTGTTTAGAAACACCGTTTCTATTTCTTCTTCTTCTTCTTCTCCAGGGCTTCACCGAGCTGCAAATCGTCTCCCAGGTGGACTCACTGCCTGTCATCCGCCTGAACTGCCAGCAATGTCGAATTCAGTCCATTTACATTGATGATTACCCCTGCGTCTTCACGTACAGTGACCCGACGCAGGACATCCTGGCCACGTCTTCGTCGTCGTCTTCGTCCACAGCTACAGCAGCAACAGCAACAACAACCTCAAATGAGCAGACAAAAAGCGGCAGCGGCGGAAGCGGGAAGCTGGGCCCGCGGAAGCTGGACACCTTCAGCAGCACCCACTACGAGGTAATCAAGTCGACCGACTGCGACGTGGGCAACGGCGAGCTGGTCATCGAGGTGCCCGACCTCATCGACCTGAAGTCGGCCGTGTTGGAGCACCGGCCGCTGCGCCTCTTCATCGCCTACATGGTGGAGAACCCTACCGGAGGCCTGTACTTTGCCGTCAACAACCAGTCGAATCAGTTTAGCGCCGCAGCAGCTAATGATCAACAAACGGCATCATCAGCCAAAGACGACAAAGACGGCGACAAAGCTTCAGCCTCAGCCTCAGTCGAGGACGACGGCTTCTCGCCGCACATGTTCAGCACCGGGCGGAGCAACAACAGCCGCCTCTGGTTCCCCTGCGTCGACTCCTTCAGCGAGTCCTGCACCTGGGCGATTCAGGTCACCGTGGAGGAGGCGTACACCGCCATCGCCTCCGGGGAGCTGACCGAGGTGGAGCACCTCGTCGAGCGGCGCCTGAAGCGCTTCACCTACTCCCTCCAGGTGCCCACCAGCGCCCCGAACATCGGCCTGGTGGTGGGGCCCTTCGTCCCCGTCGTCCACCCGCACATGCACGAGGTGGTCAGCTTCGCCTTTCCCACGCTGAAGTCCCTCCTGCCGGCCACCACCGAGCAGACGCACAAGATCTTCATGCACTACGAGGAGCTGCTGAACACGCGCTACCCGTACGCCACCTACAAGCAGGTCTTCGTGGACAACCTGGTGGCGAAGTACGAAGCGTACGCCACCCTCTCCCTCATCAACATCAGCCAGCTGCACTCGAAGGCGGTCATTGAGCAGACGTACATCAGCCGGCGGGTGCTCGCTCAGGCCATCGCCGAGCAGTACTTTGGCGCCTTCATCAGCATGCAGACGACGGCGGATGCCTGGCTGACGCGCGGCATCAGCGGCTACCTCGCCTACGACTACGTGCGCAAGGCCTTTGGAAACAATGAGTACCGAACGTACGTGAAGCGCGCCATGGACAAGGTGATCCGCTACGAGCAGCAGTTTCGCCCGGTGGTCCTGGACCCGAGCAGCCGCGGCTACACCGAGCAGGACTACTTTGCCGTGAAGAACTTCCACACCTACTCGCCCGTCTACGAGAAGATGCACCGCGTGAAGGCCTTCCTCGCGCTGCGCATGCTGGAGATCTACCTGGGGAAGACGCTGCTCCTGCAGGTGCTCCACAAGATGCTCAGCCTGGCGCAGCTGGCCGCCCCCACCCGATTTGCCTCCAACAACAACTGGTACCACCTGCACACCAGCACGGCCAGCTTCATCTGGGCGATCAGCACGGTGACGGGGAAGAACATCGACACCTTCCTCAAGCAGTGGGTCTTTCAGGGCGGCCACGTGAAGTTCACCGGCAGCTTTGTCTTCAATCGGAAGCGGAACACCGTGGAGTTGGAGATTAAGCAGGCGCATGTGGCGTACACCGGGGTCAGGCGGTATCTGGTAAGTGGGCTTGAGGGGAGTTTTGAGGATTTTTGGGCTTATGTTTTTTTGGTTGCAGGGACCGCTGATGATCTGGCTGCAGGAGCTGGACGGGACGTTCAAGCACACGCTGCAGATTGAGGACAACCTCTCGAAGCACGACATTACCTGTCACTCGAAGAGCCGCCGCAACAAGAAGAAGAAGATTCCCCTCTGCACGGGCGAGGAGATCGACATGGACCTCTCGGGCATGGAGTAAGCGAGCTGCGTCCTCCTAAGATGCTTGTTCTCCAATTGACTGACCACTATGACCTCTATTTCACTAGCATGGACTCACCGGTCCTCTGGCTGCGCATCGACCCGGAGATGACGCTCCTCCGGGAGGTCATCCTCGAGCAGCCCGACTACCAGTGGACGTATCAGCTGCGCTACGAGCGGGACGTCATCGCCCAGATGGAGTCGCTGGCGGTGCTGGACCGCTTCAACACCAAACAGGCGCGGGACGCCCTCCTCGAGGTGATCACCAGCGAGGCGACCTTCTACCGGGTCCGCTGCCAGGCCACTACCTGCCTGCGCCGGGTGGCCAACCTGATGGGCGCCAGCTGGATAGGGCCCCCGGCGCTGCTGCCGCAGTTTCGGAAGCTCTTCGGCTCCCCCTCCTGTCCGAACATCGTCCGAATGAACAACTTCAGTCACTTTCAGCACTACTTCCTGCAGATGGCCATCTTCCGGGCGGTGGCCGGCCTGCGCACCCTCCACGGCATCTGCCCGGCGGAGGTGCTGCGCTTCCTCTTTGACCTCTTCAAGTACAATGACAACTCGAAGAACGCCTTCACCGACGCCTACTATAGAGCGGCGTTGGTGGACGCCCTGGCGGAGACGGTCACTCCGGTGGCCATTGCGCCCATCTTTAATGCCGTCACGGGGGCGGCCACGGCGGCGCCCGTCGTGGACATGCTCTCGCCGGACA